CACTAATCAATTAAACACATACTGAATAATATTAAACTGCAAAAAAATACCATCAGAATCATATAATCATATAATCATATAATCACAATGTTGTTTACTACTAAAATGTAAACAAAGTGACAACTGTTGTAAAATTATAAACAGTATGAATCAGCTGTAGGCTAATATGTTGTGGTGGCAGGGGCCAGGGAGAAAACAGGGGAAAACTAATTTGTCCTTCAACCGCACATTAAATTCAGACAGAGTATAGTGTTAGTCGCTACTAGAACTTGGACTCGGATACCACAAATACGTTGATAAATCAACAAAACTTAAGCTTAATATTAATTATTTAACTGTAGGCCTACGGCCCCTTAGGAATCTCTCCGACCAAAACTGATTGCATTTTTGGATTCAGCGTTAAAAATGTAAGTAGACATATCAAAATTATAACCAGTGTAAGTATGATAAATAATTACCAAAAAATTATGTCACCCGCCCGAAAGAAAACACGTCCAAACCAGTTTTTACGGCTATTAGTAGGTCTATTGACATTCGGGCCAGGGACGTTATTTGTTTGTTTATCAATCCATAGGCCTAGACCGTTTCTGTTTAATATTCGGGCTACATTGTCAATATTATGCGAAAGCATGAAATTTGCATCTTGCGTATTACATCTCACTAAAAATAACGAATATAACGTAAACAAAACGCTCTCTGTTTGCTATACTCGGTTTGGCTCCGGTAGTGAACACGGATACTTTGGACTGGCCGGCAGACGCAAAAATATAATAACTGGGAGTAATGAAACAGAGGATGAACTAAGGACGTTACTAGCCAAAGTGAAACTAAGGAATAACAAAACCGTTAATAAAGAGAGTACAAGAGTTGCATTTAGTCATGGCATAACAATTTGTAAACACAAACATTTAATTTATTCCAAAAGTGCCGTTATACAGTGTATTTTAGTAGAGAGTCAAAAAAGGAGATTCCTCACTGTTAATGATAGATAGTATGAGTGATTAGTTTTTACAAAATAAAAGAGATGAAAAACAATTGATGGTTTATTAACATGGTTGAGAACAAAACTGATAAAAAGTAAACAAAAAAGTAAATAGATCATAACAATTAATAACATATGATTTTATCCTCAAATGGCAGGCAGTTGATAGTATACATAGAGTAGGTACTTCTAACATACTCCCCCCCCAAATTGCAACAGGGAACTGGGCAATTTTATTCTGTGGCAGAAAGAGAGCACAATTTTGCTATTGGTCTTCAATGTTTCCATGCAGATGAGTTTGTCATATTCCGGATTTGTGGCAGACTCCTTTAGTGGGGGTTTAAAATCATGTCTTCCTCTATCAGTCCTAGAGTGTGTTGATTGCGAGTGTTCTGCACACGTTTGATTTTCAGGAGATAAAACTTTAACTAGATCCTTGGCAAAATCCTCCTGTTCCCAAAACTTCTGAAGTAAATCATCTACTTTGTTCTCCAGTAGGCAATGATACATTGATGATTTGTTGCCATTGATGAAAAATCCACATGGCCCATATAACACCCAACCAAAGATGGTTGATTGAGCGATAGGAGATAGAGGCGGACCCTTGATAAGTCCAGGAAGAATGATACTTCCATAAACATCAGCTCCAAGTATCAAATCTACAGACCCAGGGGTCATGAAATCTTGATCAGCTAGTTGAAGCTTCTTGATATGATGCCAGTTAGATTTACCTGGTGTCATAGTAGGTAAGTTAGCCGTGAGTTTTGGCAGAATATGTGCTGTTAACGGACAGATGACTTTGTCGTTAGATGTACTCCCAATGTTAATGGACACTAATCCACGAGTAGTTGATGATTGATTTCCTCCGATACCGATAAGAGAGAGTGATGATGAGGAGCGTTCAATATGAAGAGTCTGCACTAGATGCTCGCTGATAAAGGAAGTTTCGGAGCCTTGGTCTATTAGAGCTCTACATACAATGTTGTTACCTTTCGGGCTGATTACTCTAACTTGAGCAGTAGCTAAAAGAACTGTGTGTCGATTTACAGTGGGAAGAGAGTGATTTGAGGAAACTTGTGGTGTGTTTGATGATTTTCTTTCCGTATTTAGTGGATTTGGTGTTTGATAAGTGGATTTGATTTGACTAGATGTATCAAAAGGTTTACTGACAGCGTCATGAATCAATGTATGGTGGCGATTACCACATTTCACACATGATTTTTGAGATCGGCATTCTTTGAGCAAGTGAGGACCAAGACAGTTGAAACATAACCTTTTACTTGATAAGAAGTCCTTACGTTGAACAGGTGTTTTAGCGAGAAACTCTTTGCAATATACTATGTAATGAGCATGACTACAAAGTTTACACATACCTTTTTCTTTAGATTCTGCTACCAAAGCTGCATTTATCTTAGGATTGTGCTGAGGTTTACCTTGATGTTTTGATTGATTCACCATTCCATTCGAGTGAGACACTTCCCTGGCTTCGATGTTTTCCAAAGCCCGTACACGTCCCTCGATGAAGGTCTGTAGGTCTTGCAGCGATGATGGTTCTGTCGATACGCCTTGGTGAAGCTCCCATGCCTCGTGTGTGTCAGGATCTAGACGATGAACAGTCAGATATACTAAGATGTGATCCCATTGATCGATCGGCGAGCCAAGAGATTTAAGTGAGCCCAAACTCTCATTTACAGTTGAGATCAGATGATTAAGACCTTTGGCAGATTTTTGTTTTAAAGGTTGGATATTGAAAATGTCATCTAGATGTTTGTTAATCAAGACCCGTTTGTTTTCAAATCTAGCTACTAGTTTTTCCCAAGCTGGAATAAAGTTTTCCTCAGTGATTTGAAAACTAGATATCAACTGAGCAGCCTCGCCTACCAAGCTATTTTTGAGGTAATGTAATCTTGTTACATCAGTTAAATCAGGATTAGAAATTACTAAAGAATCGAAAAGATCGCTAAACGGTTTCCAGGATTGATAATCTCCTGCAAACTGTGGCAAAGATATTTGAGGCAATTTTGGTCTGAGAATAGAGTTGGATTTACTACTTTCTGTAATACTTGCATTTTGGAGAGATGACGTTGAGACTAAGTCAAGGAGGTCCAGCATTTCCGATTTGTTGATGAGGTAAGCTTCTTTTCCGCGGCTGTAGTGGTCTTCATTTAGATAGTCGAGATTTTCTAGCAATTCGGGCTTTGACTCACAGATCCTTTCGTGATCTTTGTCAAACTTTTTCCAGTCTGCTTCCAAAACTTCAAGTCTTGTTTGTAGTTGAGCCTTAGTTATAGTAGATGTATCTTTGTTTTTGAAAAAGGCTGAAGCATTTTCCAGGTGTTGTAATCTTGATTTTTGGAGTTTTATTTTTGATTCCAGTGATGCCATAATGATAATGAATTTTCAAATTTTGGTAGACATAAAATAAATTTTGATGAATAAAATTTCAGTGATATAGATACAAGTGTTTTGATATGTTGCTGTTCCGGCTCGATTTAGGACCAATAATGTTAATGATAGATAGTATGAGTGATTAGTTTTTACAAAATAAAAGAGATGAAAAACAATTGATGGTTTATTAACATGGTTGAGAACAAAACTGATAAAAAGTAAACAAAAAAGTAAATAGATCATAACAATTAATAACATATGATTTTATCCTCAAATGGCAGGCAGTTGATAGTATACATAGAGTAGGTACTTCTAACACTCACTTTATGCAGAAATCCCCTGGAGCTAAATTTTGAACGTCAAAATCCGGTAATCTCCCCCGGGGGAAAACCGGGGATGGCAACCATATCCATTAATTTAAATAGGTCTGGGCCTTTATAAGTTTGGTTGCACTTGAGTTTACGTCCTACACTTACTACCTATAATACATTAGGCCCCTAACTACCAGCTGATTATAAAATGAAACTGTTCTAAACTAACTTAGAAACCTAACCTTAACCAAACTGCAGTATGTGAGTAAATGTAGGACGTAAACTAAAGAACAGCCATAAGTTTAGATTGGCCTGATGAAAAATACACAGCTTAAGAACATAGGCTACGTTTTTATTGCATAGGCTTAAGCCATTTTTCAGGACTGGTCGTAAGAACGATTGTTTCAGTTTGATAACATGAATTCGTGGCATAAACCTACTGACATTCTCTTTACTGGTGCACCCCCATAGCATATCATTCAGTAGCATCATGGAGGGGCATATGGATCATCTGTTCAGACCAAGTTGTGCAACATTTTAACATTATAAGGTTAAATTTTAGGGTGTATATGTAACATAGGGCTAAATCAATAAAAACGTTGATGTAACTTTAGCCTAGCGTGTGTAATTTTCAGCCAGAGACACTGACATGTCATAAAACCAACTTTGAATCATGACTTGAGAACTACAAAAACTTGTTTTACCATCTATAATGTTTAAGTTATATGACTTGATATTTTTTTAGGTTTTAGTTAGATTCGGTTCGTCAGCATTTTACAGATTTGGGCATAATGACTGTTTACAGTTTATATGTTTTTCACACAGCACTTGATGCTCAAAAACTAAGTAGCCTATAAACAATCTGGTTCCCAGGTTAGATGACAGCCATTCCTATTATACAAGAAATAGAAATCAAATTGCCATTGATTTCCACAGGCTAGAGTTTTATGATAAAAAAAACATAAATGTGGGTGCTAAGTTTTTACTACGGCTAACTGTGGAATTGAGAAACGTTAAAGATGTAAAAATTTTTAAGAAAAAATTAAAACTGCATCTGACAAATAAAACATTATATAAATTTGATGATCTCTGACAACCATACTTTTTGTTGTTTTTGATTAACTTTTGGTTTAAATAGGTTCCTTATGACTTGTGGAGGAATTGTAATGAAATTAAGTTGTTAGCTGTAATTTAGCATAATTCAATGTATACCACTGTATATTATATGAATAAAGACATTTTCAATTCAATTCAACTCTATAAAGTTTTTTATTTTCATTATTTCATTATTTTTGTATTAATTTTTCTTTAATTTCCAGGGTGTGAATGGGGTGTTGGAGAGTCCAACCGGAACAGGAAAGACTCTAAGCTTACTGTGCTCGTCTCTCGCTTGGCTCCAATTAAAGAAGGCTCAAGTCTTACAGTCGGAACTTAACAAATCCAATGCAACTAAGGAGTCTGGTGAATCATCACGGGGTAGGTTATAAATTTAATCCACTACAAAATCCCTTAGTGTGATCCCAGTAAGTTAGGCCTATCTGTTAATGTGAGGTTTTCCCTAGTACTGGTAATGTCTTAGTATTTTAATCCAAGGTAAATTTATATTTTTGTCATTCATTTTGAAAGTCAATAAGTAGCCTAAATAACATTGCTTGGACCAACTTATGCTGTAAAATATGTGTGACTCGTGTATCTCGGTCTCAATGTCTTTATTTACCGTCAGGTCCGGTCTAAATGGTTAACTATTGAAGCTATCAAGTTCTATAGTCCACCACCACATTTGAAATAATAATGGCGAAGTTGTTCTATGTATTTTGTGTATAAATTATTTACTAGTCATCAGAGTAATCCAAAACTGTCAAGTTTGAAGGATTTAGTAAATTTTTTTGTACTTAATTTGATCTTACAATCTTGAAGGTGACAACCGGAGTAGGACCAAGATAATCTATGCGTCTCGGACTCATTCACAACTCGCTCAGGCTATGAAGGAGCTGAAGCGTACCAGCTACAGACACATGAAGTCAGCCGTGCTCGGCTCACGAGACCAGTTGTGTCTGCACCCTGACCTCGCCGGAGAGAATGGATCGATGAAGGTTAGCGCACAATGTTCTCAACCATATACTTTTATCCTGTTAAATACTAAATGTCCAGGAGATTTCAGATACAAAAAATCACACTTATGTAACACTAACAATCCAAGTTTGACATCTTCCAAGAGAAAAATAAAAACATATAGAATATTTTCCCCCACATTGCATAGCAGCGCCGTGTCGTCATAGACGCCTTTATAGTAACATATTGTGTGAAAATTTCAAAAAAGTAAAAATTTTAAGAGTAATTTCAATTTCTTTAAAAACCATAAATCACAGTAATACCAACAGTAAAAAAATGTAGAAACAAACATCAATGTGTTAATCATTATTGTTAATCTTTACAAAGACAGCGACGCACACGTAGGTGCGTATTTCAACCCAAACATGAGTGAAGGATGAGTGTAGAATGGAGTGAATGTGTCTAACTTTTTTACTATGAGCAGCTGTTTCAATAGCCAGGATAATCCATATAAAGCCAAAAGTACCCATGAACTTTTGAGAAAACTACAAGTCACACCCCCATAAACCATAATATGGTTTAATATATATGGTAGGTAGGTATATGGGAAGTTCCCTTTTGAAAGGAATTACGACCTTAAAGGGCAATTTACAAAATAATGGATAAATTGCAAATAATAGTTTTGCGCAAGGTTTCTCGTCATGACGAACATATTAAGTATATATATGACGAGAAACCTTGCACAAAACTATTATTTGCAATTTATCCATTATTTTGTAAATTGCCCTTTAAGGTCGTAATTCCTTTCCAAAGGGAACTTCCCATATACCTAATGTTAAAAATACCTCAGATCACAGAACATGTACTACTATAACCCAGAATGCCAACAGCATGGTAAAAAGCATTAAGTGTTTTGAGAGAGCTTTGCCTGTCAATCGGTAGGCAGCGCCACCAGCGTTGCTATGCTATTGCATGGCAACGCTGGTGGCGCTGCCTACGGATTGACAGGCAAAGCTCTCTCAAACCGCTTAATGCTTTTTACCATGCGGTTGGCATTCTGGGTTATAGTAGTACGTTTTCTGTGCTCAGATGTACTTATTAGTTTGTATTACTGTACCGGTATTCTATTTTTTGTTTATTTCATCTTAACTTAACCAATCAATAATTTTATTAATACTTATGAAGTCAAACGGGGTAAAGCCCGTGGGTAATAGCTTGTTCATTTAAAGCCCAATGATCAGGGCAGCTGGGTCCAGGTTTGAACTATCAAAAAGCTACTGACTTTACACAGGATTGAACCGGTAGCCTTTTGATTGTTAGATGAGCATTATAACCACTCAGCTACCCAGGCAGCTTGGTGGTTCAAAATCAAACCCAATCATTGGTTATTCAGTAGGAAAACAATTAAAACTTTCAAAATGCATTGCAAATAGTTAGTAGTTCTTTATATTTACTACTTAAATAAAGAAGATTATTTGTCACAAAAAATGCCTCCATGCCAAACTTACATCAATACCATCAGCATAGTCATGAAACTGGCATATTTATTTATACTAAAAAAATTTAGCAATCATTTTTGTTATCACTGCAGGTGGCCATGTGTCGAAAGAAAATTAGCGCTCGTTCTTGTCACTACTACAACAATTTGGAGTCTCGGAAGCATGACCAGAACAACTTCCCCACCGAGGTCACCGATATTGAGGACTTGGTGAAGTTCGGCAACGAGACGCAGTGCTGCCCCTACTACATGTCTCGTGAAATGATGTCGTCTGCGGACATTGTGTTTATGCCGTACAACTATCTGCTTCATGCTCAGACGAGACGGCAACAACAACTGATATTGGACGTGAGTAGTAATCAGATTTGTATTTGTAGATTGTATCCTGGACAGGCTTCCACGGTCACTGATTGTGATTTGTAGGCTTCTGGGATCGTCACGCATTAAAACCGTGTCTTCAGTGGATGCTTCAGTGTTGCGTCATTTTTCACATTGTCGATCCGTAGATCATGAATCTATTTTTTAGTACCATCTTTTTTGTATATTTACCGTCTTGTGAGTAACAGTATAAGCGTAAATATATGTTTTAAGTGTTATAAGACGTTTCTGTTATTTACTTTCCGTACTTTAATTTTATGCTATGGCCTAGGCTACATCACACAATATTTACTAGCTCCAAAGATTCTGTGTTTGTGCATTTTCATCCATTTTTGTTAGTTAGGGGAGCCTGTTTAACTGTCCACCATAAAATCCTTAAAACCCTGGCCCAAAGTCATCTTTTCACTTTATCATAAAAATGTCATAGGAATAAAATTATTATAATAACTTTTATAACTATTATTATGATTTTTTATGTTGGCAGAACACAGTAGTTATCCTAGACGAAGCTCACAACGTAGAGAGGATGTGTGAAGAGTCAGCTTCTGTTCAGATAACCAGTACGGACATTGCTCTTTGCATTGCGGAAGTTGAACAGGTATTTTTTGTACATCTTTGGATAGTCCTAAGTAGGGGTGTGCGATACATTTTTTTTTCGATTCGATGCGTTGATGCGATATGATTCAATGCAGCACGGCATGATTTTATTTCAAAATTATTTACAACTTGTGTTTCTGTAATGGATAATTTACCTTGAAAAAAGGTTTACCTAAGTAAAAAATTTACCAAAAAAAATATTTATGAACAACAGGATAGTTGCTGACCTAACCTCCTGCTGATGGACACTGGTAATTTTATGGTTGTCCTAAGAAAATCTAGACCTCACTAACAATTAGAATAAGCCTGAAGCAATTAATTGTTATAGATATTTCGATGTATGCTGAATCGAATAGAAATATTTATGTATTTTCGATGCATCGCACATCACTATTCCTAAGTTTAATCAAAGCTTGGTTCATCTTCTATGTATTTTTTTTTACAAATTTCACTGTCTTAAAGTATAAATTTACAACTTGTAATGTAATACCTACTTGTCCTCTTTGTCGTTGTTTGAAAATTGGATGCACTGTGTCAGAAGAGTGTTGAGGCTATTTACTGCTTAAATAGAGTTGTTCCGTCTTGTAACTCTTGAAGAGAGTAGAGCGGCCTATTTACTATAAAAGTACCCTCTAATTTTTGTTAAAGAATGCATTTTGAAAACATAAAATTTTTAAGTCACCAAACATCTGTGGATTTCTGATCAAAAAACATTGTACACAGCCAATACTACAAACAAACCTCAAGCCTTGATGTAAAATCTCGAGGTAATTTTTCTTCAACAAATTTTATAAAACTATTTTCTCTTATTGGTTTTAATTGGAAGATTTTTACAGACATTGTTATATTGCTGATAGAGGTTCTCTTATTGTCGTATTGCAGATTATTGAGAAGATCAAGCAAGATCTCACCGATTTGACGGACGATTCGCCCAAGGCATTCTCGTTGGAAGACTTGCGTGGTCTGAAGGCGATGTTCCTCTCGTTGGAAAATGCTGTTGACGCAGTAGAATTCGAAACAGTGAAATATGGAAAAGACAAAGGGCAGAAGATGGGGAAAACGTTCCCTGCCTCTTATATATTTGAACTGCTCGCTAAAGCCGGGGTGAGAATATTTTATTCATCACTACTGTTATTTATTTGTTAAGTAAATCATTTAGTTTGTAGCCTATCTGTTGTTTTAATCCATCCATTGATTGGTCGTCAATCTATAGGAAAGAATAATCTTAAGACTTTACTCTTAACTTCTTTGCTGTTATCTTTAGGGGTGTGCGAGTATTCGAACATCGAGCTTTTTCGAGCCGAATAGCGTCCTATTCGGCTCGGCTCGTGATTTTCAAAAAGTTTGAAATGTTCGAGCCGAATACTTATTGAACTAGCAAATAAAAATTAAATTAATAAATAAGGAACTAACTTTCATTTAAATTTACTCTCCGTTTCATAATTCTGTCTTGATAACAGGAACCTCAGCTCAGTCAAGACGCAATGATTATCGATCGTAATTTTGAGGAAACTACCACCTATCGCGTTGTCTTTCCAACACAACTATTCGTATCGTAATATACAACGCAGTGCGAGTGCGTGATTGGCTAAGTCGCTATGACGACACACGGTTGCCACGGCAACCTACATTGCGCACTGAGCACTGCGCCTTGTGTGGGAGGGGAGATTATACCAACAAACTATTTCAGGAATTCTATTTTGGGACGGATGAAAGATAAGGAAGAAACAAAGGTGGTCACGTGTGCAAATGTAGTGGGCGACACAATAAGGCTGTAAACGAGTATCGTCGTGTCGTTGTTCCTTGTTTGTTTACTTTTTAGGATTCCTTATCAAACGCCCCTATCTGCTATCTCTCTTTCTCTCTCTCTCTCTAACAATGTACTGATTAAACAAGATTGTGGTTGACGACTTTTCTACTTATAAGTTTCCCTGCGGTTATTTTAGTTCAATCAATCCCATAACCTTTCTAATGTTTATCAAAATAATTAATTAATATGTTTTGTATTTTATTTCCTTTAAACCAACCCCTATTTACCATCTGTATTTTATAGAATAAAATGTTTGTTTATAAAGATTGACTGGCCACACAATTTTGTACCTATTTTATTTTGTATAAAAGTAACAGTTACTTTGAGGATTATATATATATCAATAAGTGGCGCGTGCTGTAATGAGTGCTTTTTATTTTCAAAATAAGTAATGAGTTATTAATTTTTGATAGTACGGGTCATTAAATACCATAATGTGATGTAGTTTCCTATTTGTATCTTGCAAATAATAATAATTGATAGTTAATTCTGGAAATGAAAAATAGTGATCGCATTCATAAACCTGTTGTCAAAACAGCAACGAGGGTGTAAGGGTTTATTGTTTCAGACGCAAGGGTGTTTCAAGGACAAAGTGTTGGGCCACCCGGATGGGGGGGGGAGGGGGCGGTGAGACTGTGTGAAGGGGAGGAAACTGGTTTTGGCTATTTATTGATTAGTTCGCCGACCCTTCTAGATGACAAAATTGAGTGACAGTGTTAAATCATCGTGTTCTGCATTTCATTTCTTGTTTACTTTGTGTGTTATTCAATTAATTCTAGTGCTTTGGTCTATTTCCTCTATATGTCAATTATATATTTTTTAATATATAAGTAAAACTTGTCTCTCCACCTTTTTGGATCCAAACCAACCATGTTCTTTTTTGATTAATAGGATTCATTTAGAGGTGTGCGGATATCCGAAAAATCGGGTCGGATTTGGTTCGGATATCCGTATCCAAACCGGGCCCAAATTCGATATCCGACACTATCCGTTATTTATCCGACTTTTTCGGATATACAATATATTTTGACGTTTTGGACAGAAAACTAAATCTCCATAGCTACCATTAGTTTCCCAGGACAAAATTACAGCAATACGTTTCCAACGACCTAACAGCAAACGGCAAAGAAGCCGTATGATGCAATACTGATAAACTAGTTTAGTCGTTATCGGCTGTTTTGCTTTACGATTAGATTCGTCTGGAATGAACAGGCATAAAGCAAAAAAGAACTACCATGGTCAAATGAAAGTCAACTCGTGCTTGTCTCGCTCCTGATACTAGGGGCGCTGTAATAGTTTATTTACAGTACTGTTACAGTACTGTAAAGATAACAACGTCATTCTTTCTCTTTGTTCTTCTATTTCTTGGGTTTCCCTTCATCACGCATTCAACATGTTGTCATGGTTACTAATCACCCATGTCGTTATCAGCTTTTGTGACATAGCGCACAGCATGGGGTAAAACTTGACGAAAATCGGTTAATTTTTACCTACCAATTAAGTACTACTTTATTGGTATTTGGTACTGTATTAATAATCGGTCAAAATGGCCGATTTTTGTCAAATTTTACACCAAATTTATTGAAATTTCAAGGTGAATATTAATAAAACAATTATTACCAAATATTTGTATTCATTTAAAAGATTGATTTGTTGTATTGGGTTCCCCACTGAGTGCAGCCGAGCGGCACTAATGAGGGTCGGACCTTCTTGCGGGTGAACAATAGAAGGCTTATCAGACCCAAGATGCATGGAGTAAAATCAGACCCACCCCTCCCCCGTGGTCTGGAGAAAGCTTGTAAACAAACTATTGCACAAGCCATTGGGCTTCTTCAACTATAATTTTGTCAAATGAACTGTGATGTTTTAAAATCAAAAACAATAATTTGGGACCATACTGCTTAACAATAATGGACTGCAATTATTGTTAAACATACAATCCATTTTTACATTAAACAAAAATATTTTGTGCATGGAAAACAACAAGAATAATCACGTGTTTTTAAATTTATTTTGTATTTATTTATACAAAGTAGAATTAAATATTCATAGTAGTTACAATATACATATGTAATCGACTTGCTAGTTGTTTTGTCGTCATTCAAGGTCGCGTTGCTGTTCTGTCATGAAAGACAATCTGATTGTCTCAGTCTTCACTGCATATCTCTTCAGGCCTTCAATCGATATCCTTTTATTTCTTGCATCTTCATTTAGTTCAGTTCAGTTCTTATCGTGATTATCTACTATTTGATGTCTTGACAATTCTCAATGTTTTTAAACATATTAAAATAACATTGTGTTTATTTAAAAATTGACTGAACATTATTATTATTATGCACTTTTTTAAGAAAAAAAAAGTTTAATAATTAAGATAAGGTTAGGCCTACGCTAGGAAAAGCTCGGCTCGAAAAAGCTCGAGCTCGAACATTTTTTAAAAAGCTCGGCTCGGCTCGGCTCGAGGTTGAAAATCACTATTCGCACACCCCTAGTTATCTTTATTCAAAAATCAGGTGTAATAATAATCTTTTAGGCTCCAACGTCCGATATACAGAACGCATGATTAACATAACTAAACTTTTACGTAGATCTATCTTTGTGAATATATAGTAAGTAAAAAAACTGTTTGATGCTAAACCCGATATTTTCTGCAATTTGGGAGAAGTTTAGAATTAAATTTCAAATCAAATTTTGGAGATTTTTAGGTTAGTATCATCGGCGGATAAACATATAGGTACTGCTTTTCTCAGGGTTTGATAATGAAGTTGATATATTTTTTTTAGATAGCATATGAAAAGAAGGGGCCCTAAAATTGATCCTAGAGGATATTTAGCTACAGAGACAAACAATATATCTTCTTGATGGACAGAATTACATTAGATAGGAGGTTGTTTTGTTTTCTCTTTTTAAACATTACTTAAGTTTTCTTTGTAAAATTGCTAAAACTGTTTTACTATGAGAAATACACAGGTGTATTAAAAAATCATTGCTTAAGTTTAACAAAAAGTGGTAAGAAGCCTTTAAAAATAATTAATGTGCATTTTGTAAACTTTTGTAAAATTTTGATCATTTTTAATAATTTTCTTTTTTATTTTATAAATTGAATGTAGGATTAGTGTGGAATGGGGAAAAATGACCTGTCTAAATAGTAATCAAGACTCTGTACAGCTGTCCAACTGAAACATGTTTTCATAAGGGTGCGCTCTACCGGTCCGCTGTGCGCTAATGCAAGGGTTTATGATCTCCGTCATTGTCAGCTTAGTTCTTAACCGATTGAAAATATATTGTTCATTTCTTATTTTTGTAGGCTTGTATCGTTTGAATTTTTTGATAAGTAGAATTTTAAGTGGGAAGTGACTGGTAAATATTTCAAAATAAGCTTTTTCTAAAACATTTTACACATAAAAATGAATTTTTAGAAGAAAATTAAAACAATAGATTCATAAATTTGAATCTAAAGAGTAAGGAACCTTCCTCAGATGAAAAAATGGTTAAAATTTAACTGAATATTTGATAGGACTTAGACATCTGCAAGTGCTTCTTACGGCGCTATGGCGCAACATAGCTACTGAAGCCCGAGCTGAGGTAGAGCACACCCTTAAATTACAATCAATATTTTAGAATTAATTATTTGTAAAGTTTGATGTTCTTTTCTCCGCTGCGTTGAGCAATTTCGTACTCTAAAATTGTATATAATAGGTTATTTCAAACTCTGTTTGGTTCATATCTTAAATGCTGCAAAAGTCTGAGACTTAATTCCTTATTATCATTTTTGGGGTGCAAATAAAGGTGAATTATTTGTATGAAGTTTTTTTTTTAATGGTATGTTTGTTTATATGTATCTGGAATTTGAACGTTGTAAACACTTTTCTAATTAGTTATAATAGAAAATCTAGTCCTCTAATTTGAAAAAGTCAACAGTTTTAAATACCTAGGAGTAATTATATCCAACCAAAATACTGATGAACTAGAAATCCAAAGCCGAATAAATTCAGCAAATAAATGTTTTCATGCTTGCAATAAATTACTTTCATCAAAATCTTTGTCCCGGAAAACAAAAATCAGGCTGTACAAAACAATAATTTGCCCAGTTCTCCTATATGGATCAGAAACCTGGAAATTAAATAAAAGAGATGAAAAGAAACTAATAGTATTCGAAAATAAAATTTTAAGGAAGATTTTTGGACCAATATTCGAGCTAGGAGAATGGAGAATAAGACACAATAGGGAATTAAGGCAACTGTATAATAGCACAGATGTAATTGGAGAAATCAAGTGCCGAAGAATCAGATGGGCTGGTCATATATTAAGAAGAGATGAAGATTGTAGACTGGGAAGAGTTTTAAAGGGAAACACTACAGGAAGACGACCCCGGGGAAGACCTAAGCAGAGGTGGTGGAAGCAAGTGCAAGAAGATTTGGAGAGAATTGGGGCAACGGAGGATGATGCGAAAGACCGGTTAACTTGGCGAAGATTTGTTGGTGCGGCCAAATATCACCTCCGATATAAATGGCCCTGGGAGTAAGTAAGTAAGTCCTCTAATTTTTGTTTAAAAAAAAATCTTACAATGCATCACAAACAGGTATTTTTTCCGCAGATTACCGCAGACAAGCTTTCCCTCCTGGATACCAGTTTGTCCAACCTCGCATTGTTCCTGACGACCACTTGCGACCCCGCTCTGACTCGTAAAGGAGAGATCTTTCTCAAGTTTAACGAGTTCCTCGCAACGGTGTTCAGCAGTTTTGACGAAGGAGGCCCCGTTAGAAGCTCGGATCGTTACTATAGGGTGAGATTAGGTTTGACTTTTGAATACTGATGTAGACATTCCGTGTATGTAGGCAATATTTAAATAAAATAGAACATAGAATGAGCAACTCACAGAGTATTAGCATTGGCTATTGGATGCTGAAAGAATGCACTAGTGACAAAAACTCTGTTTCCTACCTTATTTTTTGATGCCGGCCAAGTTGATGGATCATAACAGTTGCTATAGATCACAATAAGTCATTCCATTAGTTTGAATTGGTGAAAAAGATTGTGTATTCAACAGAAATAGGTAATTTAGATCAGCACAATCTGTCGGTTGTATTCAATCTGTAGAAATTAATATTTTTTGCAACACCTACAATAATTTGTATGAGAGTTATGGTTTCGGTGTTTTTGTTCCAATACCAACCACATGTACTAGGACACTCACTCACACGTACAAAAATGCACGGTTTTTTTTACAATCATAATATGTGTCTAACAAAGGTGTTTCGCTTTTATTTAGCTTTCATTCTTTTTCTCCTCTCTGGGATTGACATCCTCAGTCAGCAATTGTTTCATTGTCACTCTGCCTGGAGAGGCTATAACTAAGCCATTTGTATATTTATAGTGTTTAATATTTTTACTAACATGTTCCAGGTTTACATTGAACCTGAAGTACCCAAGAAGGGCAATTGTGACGCATGGTCAGACACAAAAACAGTACCAAACTCTACAGCGAAGGTCGTCAACTTTTGGTGTTTCAGTCCAGGATTTACGTGAGTAGAACTTTATTGTAATATTATAAGTTTACTGTAAAGATATTACAGTAAACTTGTGTATTGGTAAATAAACGAAAAAAAAAAAACAATAAACAAAAAGGTAAATAAACGATAGCTTATAAGGTATTTTGTGGTAGATAGCAGGCTAACCTTACAGTGGTGGTAGGTTAGGTGAGGTTATATTATGCAAGCTATAGGTAGGTGAGGTTAGATAATGCAAGCTATAGGTTATGTGAGGTCAGATAATGCTAGCTACAGGTTAGGTGAGGTCAGGTAATGCTAGCTATAGGTTATGTTAGGTCAGATAATGCTAGCTAAGGTTAGGTGAGGTCAGGTAATGCTAGCTATAGATTATGTGAGGTCAGATAATGCAAGCTATAGGTTAGGTGAGGTCAGATAATGCAAGCTATAGGTTATGTGAGGTCAGATAATGCAAGCTATAGGTTATGTGAGGTCAGATAATGCTAGCTATAGGTTAGGTGAGGTCAGATAATGCAAGCTATAGGTTATGTGAGGTCAGATAATGCTAGCTATAGGTTAGGTGAGGTCAGATAATGCTAGCTACAGGTTAGGTGAGGTCAGATAAAGCTAGCTATAGGTTATGTGAGGTCAGATAATGCAAGCTATAGGTTAGGTGAGATTAGATAATGCAAGCTATAGGTTATGTGAGGTTAGATAATGCAAGCTATAGGTTAGATAAATAAATATAGGATGGAGAGGACACAGCTAACTCACCTGATGAAAGGTTGCAGACGAGTCAAAGAACACATAAAATCACACACATAATGTGTTCTTTGACTCGTCTGCAACCTTCCATCAGGTGAGTTAGCTGTGTCCTCTCCATCCTATATTTATTTATTTAATCCAAGCTAAATGCTTTTTCCTAAAAACATAAGCTATAGGTTAGGTGACGTTAGAGTTTGTTGCTATAGTTTATGTGAGCAGGCTATAGGTTGAGGTTGCACTGTAACTTTTTTGTCCCAGCATGCGGTCTCTCCTGAAACAAGGAGTTAAAAGCGTAATCCTCACCAGCGGGACTCTCTCCCCAACCAACGTCACCATCGCCGAGCTCGGCATCCCAATTCCAGTGTATCTGGAAAATCCGCACATCATCAAACCTTCTCAGGTATGTCCTAGATTGATTTGCAATTTTGCTTACACAAATTTTAAGGTTTGTGAGAAGTAAAAGCCTTGATGATGAAGTTTATTTGAAAAATGCATTTTTCTGCTGGAAGACTCTGCTTTGTGTTTGGGATTGTTCAATATTATTCAAAATAAATAAAATGCCAAGGTCTAGTTCACGTCTTTGTTGAAGCTTCTGGAATTGATCTCACCGTTACCTTTTATTAAAAATCCTAAATTAATTTTCAAATTTATAATTTAATGACCTTAAAAAACTGGAATATCAAGTATGGTTATTGTAAGAAGAGGTGAGCCTATGTAGCTTTAATTATTTATGATTACCATTAATTAATGTGTTTGTGTCTGAAATCCCAAAAATTTAAACCTGAATTCAGCATTTGTAGACAATTTTTTCACCAGTATCTTTTCGACAATTTCTCAAACCAGCCAGTCAGTAATTCTTTTACAAACTTCTTTGTGTTTTCTTTCTCCACTCAACTGAACACCTGTTTGTTTTAAACTCTGTTGAGTTCTTAGTTTATTTGTTAATCCTGTCATTTCAAGGCGTGATTTTCCATCAGGCCGTTGTTAGTTAATAGAGTACAGTAGCTAACTTTTGTGTTGTGACAAGCTAGCTAACTATTTACATGTGTATTTATATGTGTACATTTGGGTTTTTCAGGTGTGCATCAATGCCCTGAGAAAAGGGCCTACTGGGGTACAACTCATCTCGGATTTTGCCAACAGGTATGTTATAATATTTGCCTGTTTTTTTTACTCACAAACGAATCAGCTTGTCCACAGATAAACACATAACTACTCGTTTGTTTTAGCACTGTTCCCGTTATTGTTTAGTAGTAGTAAAGTACTGCAGCTATGTGTGGTTTTGAAACACATCCAGTTCATTTCTTAAATTCTATTGGTTCTGTTTTTAGTTCCTACAACAATCCAGAACCAAAAAGATAAAAAAAATAAATACATTTTATGATTTTAACTTTCCCTATAACTTATTTTAACTTTTCTCATTAGATAGCATATTAACAATTTACTTATCCTGAATTGAATTGTGCAAGGAATTTGAACTACCATTTTGCTTTCAAACTAATGTTTTTCCCCATTGTTTCAGAGAGAACCCCAATTATATGGCGGAACTCGGCAGAATTCTACACAAGATGTGCGGAGTTGTGCCAGATGGCATTCTCATGTTCTTCAACTCGTTCTCTTTAATGCACAAGACGACCGATCACTGGCGGGAGACGGGACTTTGGTCTCAGATAAACGTTGAGAAGGTCGGTAAACATTCATGTAGTGTGCACTGTCCAGGATATGAGATTTTGTATAAACAATAGGGATGGTCAAGTCTCGAATTTTCAGGAAATTTTAAATCTTGTTACACGAGACGAGATTTATTTTTGGCCGAGAATTTTATCGAGACGAGAAAAAAAAATAAAAATGCCTGCAGAAAGTTAATGCAATACCCGCAATACAGGAGCGTGTTGTAGTTGCGTTTCCTTTGCGAAGGCGTTCTTATTTAATTAATTCTTTAAATGTAAATATTACTTTAATTATTTTAATAACATTTGAGAAGTTTTGTTAAGTGTAAGCAGCGTGAGGAATGTTTTCTTACTATAAAAAGTCAAAACAAGTAACTATTTTATAAAAATTAATATTGCTTTTATTTTGTTGAACTCTATCCTAACTGATATCACTATGTTTCCTAATCGTAGGCATTTTTTATAAGTTAGGCGTGATTAATAAAAAAATGTTATGCTGATGTTTTTTTAATAAAAGATTGTAAATATTCTTGCCTATTATCATTATTTTTTTATTTAAACAGTCATCTAACAATGTTACAAAATCAGGTAAAAATTTTGAACTTGCATTTCCCGTTGTGTATGAGAAGGGAAATCCCGTCTCGATCTCGTCTCGAAATTTTATGAGAAATAAAAAATCTCGTCTCGTCTCGTCTCTAACTAAAAATCCAATCTCGCCCATCCCTAAAAACAATAACAAGCATTTGCTCTTCTTGTCCGCAGAAAATATTTGTTGAGCCGCAGAAACGGGAGAGCTTAGCGGAAGTAATGAAGAATTACTCGGAATCCTTGGAGATGGAGGGGTCGGGTGGCGCAGTGCTCCTGGCCGTTCTGCGAGGGAAGGTGTCCGAGGGGATGGACTTTGCGGACTCACAGTGTCGCGCAGTTATCATCACAGGACTGCCGTACCCTCCGTTCAGAGATCTGCGTGTTGTGCTTAAACGAGAGTACATGAAGAACATGCAAAAGAAAATGGTAAGTAATGTTACCTGTTTTGTTTTCTTTCATGGTGAGGTTTGGGGCTAAACCCCTTGCTACTTTAACCTATTGTACTCATTTCATCGGTCTTGGTGAATATTAACAGCTGTAGAAATGATTTTATTTTACTCTATTTGGCCTAATGTTTACTGAGATAAAGCTGGACACTACAGCCACGAGGACATTTCACGAGTACATTTCATGAGTACATTTCATGAGTACATTTCATGAGTACATTTCACAAGGACATTTCAGCAAATTCTGTCCTTACAGCACATCTTCATTAGTCTGTTTATATGAACGCTTATGGTACTAATAGCTAATAGCTATATACACTATGGTAACTTTTGTTAGCAATTAATATTTCTTCAGTCAAAGAAGAATAATATTTAAGTTTTTTTCAATTGATTTTAATAATTTACATTCATTCAATTGAGGATGTTTTTTTTTTTTTTTTTTTTTTTGGAAAGTCAACTTTTTTTATGTCATTGGTGTATTTTTATTGTTGTAAATATTTGGATTTACCACCAAAAATGTTTCTTGGCAGCAAGACTAGACTGTTTGCTAGAGAGACTCAACAGAGCCTACACCAATTCTTGCCAAGATTCTCTAACTTTTGAGAAATATTTTATAACCACAAAATTAACAAGTTGGTTGTGAAGCTTCCAAATTAGTGAATTTTTTCTTTCTCCCCTACGAGTCTATGAACTGTTATTTACCAGATAAGCTAACTGAACTCCCTTAGCAATATCCGACTCCCTTCGGGTAGTCTTTGATGCTAACACGTATTTCCTGCATAACAACCAACTCTGTCCATCCAGGCTCTGTCGGAGCATCAATGGTACATGGCAGAGGGTACCAAAGCAGTCAACCAGGCTGTGGGGCGACTGATCCGGCATAGGAGAGACTTTGGCGCACTTTTATTGTGCGACTGTCGTTTCGAAAAAGAGAGTGTCGCCAAAGATCTCTCCGCCTGGATGCGGCCCCTTATCAACAAGAGCGCAGAGTTCGGACCTGTTTACGAACGGGTGTCCGAATTCTTTAAAGACATGGAGGTAAATGTAAGCCTATTGGTCATAATTTAGAGGGTATATATAGAACTGTGGGTGCATTTTATGTTTATATTTTGCGATCACATGCAGTATTGCGATCTATAGACTGCTACCGTATAAGCCAAAGTCATGGGCAAACTAGTGGTAACTACAGTAATAAGACAGTGAGTTGGCCAATCTCAACAAGCTGTCGTCTACCATCAGCCTTGAGTGTTCTGAAATAAAATTCTCTAAAGCAAAAATACTTTTACAAACTACTGATACATCGTAAGTTCAGAGTAATGGATTTGTGGTAAAACAAATAAATTGTGGGAGCAATCCTCCAACTGTGCAATGTTAGTTTTCTTTACCATAAGCAAGCAATAAAGTAGGGTTTCATGATTTTATTTAGGTATCGCTTGCGATCTACAAAATTTATGATTACGACCATCTAGGTTATATTATAAGACTCGCCATTTTTAATTTTTTACTAAAAAAACTAATATTATAAATGTTAAAGTTTATGTGTTTGTTTGAAGCTCAATCACGCATTAACTACTAAACGGATTGGGCTTTAATTTGGTATGATGATAGCTTACATTCCCGATCAACTTGTAGGCGTATTCTTATCTCAAAAAAACCATTCGAGCTCTGCCCCAGTGGCTCTGCAGTTCCCCATGTTAACTTTATGAGTATTCGTATTTAAAAGGAATTATATAATTTAGTCATCCGTTTCAACTAAAAAAGTTGGTTCTATTATATGCAAAAGCATAAAAAGTTAAGATTTACCAACAGGGTGCAGCACTATTATTCTTTTTGCTTGTATTAAAAAAATACTAATTTGAATTAAGCAGCAACAAAAAACTGAGAAATGTAATGAGAATTGTCAAAGTAGGATTGTTTACAGTTATGTTCATGTTTTTAATTTAATGAATAATTTGTAATATTTTGTGAATTTAATAATTTATTTTTCTCTATTGTTTAGATGAAGGGGTAGAACGTTATGGCTATGTTAGATGTGTAATACTATAGTATACCGTAAATTTAAAGAAGGGAATTGTATCAAACTGTGTCCTCCCCCCATTGCAAACGCAAAGCTCGAGTATAACTGCAATAAGCATTTTATACTTATATGCCAACCCCGTACGAAGGACGGGTACTCTGTTAGTTGGTAAATAATTTTTGACACAAACAAATTATTCAAGGAGTAGGTATTTTTTGGATGGCCTTTGACCAGAATAGGTTTTAAATTTTGCTATTGGTAGGAAGATCCGGCTTACCTGTAGGCCTACAGTGGATGTATCTTCTGCATATGAAACACATTTAAATCCATCATTCACTCACAATTGTAATATTTTATGGTCACTGACCACTTTGTCATTCACAGAGAGGGAAGTGACCTTGATATATTTCAATTTTGTGTAAGTATATGATATTTTTCCTATTGTCTATTGAGAAGAGTCCAGTGTAAGCCTGCTCCTCGTATAAAAAATATTTATGCAATTCTCAGTGCTCGATTTGTAAAATGAGGTGCCGAAACTGTTACCTATTTAATATGTGATTTGTACCTATTTATGCCAATATTTTTTTTCTTTCCAAAAGAGAGGTGCTGGAACTCCGTTCTGCCGTGTTCTCCCTCAAATAGAGCAATGTCTATTCTGGTATACAACTTTTACTGAGAATAACAAACAAAAAGGATTTTTTTAAATTCATAGTTTATAATTTTTTTACTAAGCATAACTTATCTTCTTCATATCGCTTTTGCTGTATTCACTATAATATTATTTTTCTTTGTAGAGAACCGGGGAGGACATCAAAACAGCTGTGTGTGACAGCTGTCCTGATAAACTGACGGATTCTGATGTTGAACCTGCTCAAAAAAAGCGCAAACTAAAGGATCAACCGCTTGAGTTTGACTCAACGAGCTCAGAAAATTCTGATACAGCTTCCACCCAGCGACCGGCCAAGAGCACGGTTGAGTATGTCCGAGAGGTAAGATATTTAAAGCTTTTTCAAATCCATACTTTCTTCCTTTAAAGAGTTTCTTGACCCAGTGATTTTTCCTCCAAAAATCTAGCTTGAACTTTATATATGTCTTTGCATTTTTTACAGGTTAAGAGTACACTCGAGAAAGAAGAGTTTAAAATTTTCAAAGAAGCAGTGAAAAACTATGGTTCTTCTAACAGTGCAAACTACGACAGTTTGGTTTTAAATCTTCGTAAAGTATTCTCGGATCCGTCAAGAAAGGACTTGTTCATTGGTAAGATGAATTCAATTTATATTCTTTAAGTGGTGGATTAATATTTTCTTTTCTAAAACCTTGTTTTAATAATTTATCTGTAACAAGTTATTCTGTTTGAAATATTTACATAATTCATAAAATAATTGAACATATACTTTACTCAGAGACAGATCAACAATAACTTACCTAAACAACTTGGTTGATTATCTGAAAACTTGCGCTACATTCCTATGGAAAGAACCTCTTATTTGATCCTCGAGTTTTATTTGGATGAATTTGGTTTGGCGGAAATTCCAGTTTATGTAGCCCACTCATTAAGCAACATAAACTTAAGTTGTAAAACTAGTGATTTTAAAAGTTCATGGTAAATTTAGAATGTAGGACTGATTGAAAGGATGTTTCCCCTTATGATTTGTTACATACTGTTTGGATCAAATGAATGTTATATTTGGTTGTTGCTAACCTAGAGAGTATATTTTTTAAGAATATTTCACTCATTTTCTAGCTTTACTGAATTTTGAAATGCTCTCATTGACAGCAGTGGCGGTTCCAAAGATTTGGGGGGGGGGGCCTATAGGGGTTAATGCCCCACCATTGTAGGTACCCACGAAGTATAAATTTAAACATACATTTTGTTTTCAAATCCCAATGGAGGTTTTTGGACACAGTTATAGACCTTGGAAATTGCTTTAAAAAGTCATTTTTTTTTTTTTTTTTTTTTTTTTTTTTTTAAGAGGTTGGCGGCCTCTTTTAACCTTAAAAAAAAGTCACTAAACCGCTTTAAAAATGTAATGCAAATTTTCTGGGGAAGGACCCTCCACCGCGGTAGCCACCCTCTCCCTTGACACCGCCACTAAGTGACAGTGGAATATTATACTGTTTTGTGTATATATAGTGTAAAGTTTTGTTTTTCTTGCACCGGTTTGGACTCCTTCCTAGTCTGCTATCCTCAATAAACATACTAAATTATTAAAATCATAGACCCTTGTGCTCTGTTGCTAACTTCTTAAAGAGCATATATTGAGATTAGCACATTTCACGATGAAAAACTATGCATTCACCCTCAACAATATGTTATAGTTCAAATTTTTTTCCAGAGTTCAAGAACTTTATCAAGGCTGAACACGTCAGCAACTTCGATGATCTGTGTGTGAAACTGTTTGGTTCATCTTCGCTATGATTAGTGTTGCGATTCCTAAACTCGACTGATCTCTGTGATAACTTCATGCTGTGTTGTTTATTCTGACTTTGTGATAAGTCTCACGTCTGTAATATGTTAAGTTTTGTGTTTTGTGTTATATTCGACTCAGGTACCTGAGTGAAAATTTAAAAACGTACGTTTTCATGTCCCTGGCCTTTTACTTCGTAGATACTGGATTTGTAGTTTATTATTATGTGTTTTTATATTTTTTGGAACGGGGGCAACATGTTACACACATTTATTTAGTTTTAAATAGGTTCTAGGTATTTTTTTTCGAATTTTTTAAGTCTCGAAATTCACGACCATGACGTGTCCCTAGGGTACATTTTCCAACTTTCACGCTGTTTTAAGACTAATTATTCATGCCAAAATATATAAAGCCATATTTTTATGTCATCAATGGTTATTAAACTTACAAAAAAGGAGAATATTACAATTTTATTGTCATTGCAAACTGACTTCCGTGACAAAATAAGTCTGTCCCTCGATTTGGTGTCACGACCATTTGGGAAAAATTTTCAACTTTGGAGCACGACAGTGGCAAGCCTGGCGTTGATGGAGTCAGTTAGTTTTAGAGACTAGTTCGGGGTGTACGTCAGGATTGTAGTGCCGGTCGTTTCGAGTTGAAAGGCGGAATAACAAGATTAATAAAGGAAAGATTGTGTTTTTTGTAATTTTGGTGTGTCCATGACCGTACGCAGTCATTCGATGAAGTAGACATGGTGTTAATTTTTGTTTATAAGATATTTCAATTGCTAGATTAACCTAGAAGTCCACTTTGTATCCTCGAACATGAGGTGCAGGGCTACCACCAGAACAGAGCCAAAAAATACGTAATTTCACGACCAAAGTTTCACGACCATTGCGGGTTTTTTCACGACCAATCCAGCCTTATGGATTATAGTGTGTTTGGTTGTGACAATAACTTTAATATAATTGTAAGTTGAACAGTTTAGTTCAATTAAAACACCTATTTTTATTATAACCAACAGTATAATTGAAGGATTGTTTAGAAAGATTTAGATTATTTCAGACAATTCACGACCGTACCGCTTGTCCCTGACCATCACGTTTATGATTTCTATCATAAAAATTTCGAAAATTAAAATATCGTCATATTTCAATGTTTTATACACAAAGGAAGCACACCTCTATACTAACATAACGATTTTTCGGGTCTCAGGTAAGTTTTTTCGGAGTTATACAAACTTAAAAAGATTTTATTGGCTTTTTTCAATGTTTTGAGATTTTTTATTTTTTTATAGAAAGACCAAATATACCAACAGCTCAGGGACCTTTTTATTGTATAATGGTCATAAAAGTAAATTAGTTTATAGCAAAACATAGTTATAAAAATAATATTAACTATTTTTAATATTCATTTAAACGTCCGTTATGGTCGTGACAGGATTTTGTGTTTTTCCACTAAAGATGCTCTTTTAAAAAAAACTACCAAAGATATTGCGTTACCATGGACATTTTATGAAACTTCAAATGTTAATGAAATAAAAAAACGAATAAAAGTTTTGAAAAAAGGGGAAACAATTTTGCAAAGTGCTTTTCCTGAAAACGTACGTTTTTAAATTTTGACTCACCTACTTATTTTTATACTTTTGATAATGAATTACTTTACTAACGTTACTAATTAATGTACATATTAAATTTATCATAGTTGAAATTAAGTACATTTTTCATCCTTTTCACAATCCATTATAGTGTTTTTTATTGCATAGACAAATTTTTGTTAATTAAGTTTTGTATTATATTCAACTCAGGTACCTACTTATTTTTATACTTTGATAATGAATTACTTTACTAACGTTATTAATTGATGTACATATTAAATTTATCATGGTTGAAATTAAGTACATTTTTCATCCTTTTCACAATCCATTTTAGTGTTTTTTATTGCATAGACAAATTTTTGTTTATAGAAATACCAAACGCCAAAAAAAATAGGTGTGTACCATTTATTTGTTCAACCAATAACTACAGTATGTCATTGACTGTCCTAATTAAATAGATGAATATGACAAAGGATTTTGTTGATAAGTTATTTGTTCGGCAATAATGCTGGCTGTCATGAAATTAATAAATTTCAATACATTGATAAAAGAAACCGCTTTGGGTGGTGGGTGCAAATATTTCGATTGGATGAGTCTACTTGTGTCGGTTTAGTCATAAATAAAACATACTCAGTTTAGTCTATAGTTCAGCCCAGAGATTTAATTGCAAAGAAATGTCTACCCAAGAAACTATAGTAGTAATGTTAACATGATTTATGAACATGGGTATGCTGTGGATGGCATTTCTCATACTACAAACTTAATGTTCAATATACATACATACATAGTGTAGGTTTAATGACTATTATTTATAGTTCAGCCGCTTAGAAAACAACCTGCGCGCTAATGCTAAACCAATGCTGGAGGAGGTCGCTTTCTAAGCGGCCGAACTATAGTACAATAACTAACTTTTTATCTCAGAAGATATAGCCAATACCATTGAGATGAAACACAATGACTGGAAAAAAATTATTACTAAAGCCACGGCTGCCTTAGGTTTGTATAAGTATTAAAGTATTGGATGCAATATATATGTATATTATTTGCTCCTCATTTACCATAAAAAAGAAAAGACATTTAACGAACATTTTTATTTAATAATACCACAGATCAAACATGCTGTTCATGATAATACTCAAGTGTTGCCTGGTATAAACATAAGCACATAAAAAAATGTTCAGAAGTCACTGCTCCTCATCTTACCATCGGTTAAGAAATTTCACAGTCAAAAGCATTGCTTTAAATTTTCGTACCGGTACTGCATGTAAAAAAAAACTAATTCGCCCACTTCTATCCTCGGATTTTTTTAACTCCACCCTCACTATTGTTAAAGGTGAGATAATCATACAATATAACAACAACGATTACAGACACAAAGACTTAAATAGCTTTTAAACTAACTTTTTCATCTCTGACCATACTTACGAAACATTCAGAAAACACAAATACGAGACAGAACGGCTGCATAGCAGCTAGAAACAGCACAACTCACAGATAGTAATAAAAAAAACAACAATAAAAAGCAAAAACAAACAAAAATACCCCCGCAGCAAACCTGCCAACTAAGCGAATTTCCATTTGTCTGAATTGATTTTCAATTGATCTATTTAAATAACATTAGGTTTAACGAGTACCTAGGTTTGCTGCTACAAGGAAACCAATAAAGTGTGTTTTTGAGTAAAATATTGATAGCTTAGTACAAAATAAATAAATTTGCCAAGTTTGATCAAAATATATCCATAAACAAGCAAACTACAACATTTGACAATATGCTCCATAAGAATAACATGGGAATTTTAAATTTACAATTCTTTTATTTTCTCCGTTACTAATAATCGAACAAAAATACTTTTACATACTAAACTATTTGTTTTTTAAGCTCTTTCAAAAGGTCTAAAGAGAAATCGGGAAATTTTGTGTTTTGAGGGTCGAAAGTGAGAAAAACCAATTTTTACCCCGTAAAGCCCCGTTCCCATGGTCCGATCGTGCTGGTTCGCGAACTCATTCAAGTTTATCCCGCTTTAAGCCGCGTTTACACCGGAGTTTCAAACAAAAAATTGCAAACTTTTATTGCAAACAGCAGTTGCAAACAGTAGTTTCAAATAAATGTTTGCAATTTTTATTTCATGATTTGTTTCCATGTTTCTTGAAATTGTTTGGAATAATTTTGACCTTGATTATGACTCGCCTCGTTCTGGTTCTTCGGATCAGTCCTTCCGAGAATTTCAAGTGTCGAGGATGTCTTAGCCGCGGCGGCGTGTGTCGTGTTGTCAAAGCAACGTAGGCCGAGACGATGCTGGGTGAACATCGGTGATTGTATAAATCATAAAATAAAAATGATTATTAATTTTTAAAGATTGCAAGGAGTTAATTATAACCCTTTTAATTCACATGAGACGTTATTGTTATTTTTCAATTAGACGACCTTGTCATTTGAGATTAGTGTTAATTCATTGACAGTCAAACATAATTTCCCGATTAATTTAACACTGAGTCGAGACACAGGGTCGCAGTGATCACGTGAGTGAGATTGGAGGTGGTAGCGTAGGGGATGGCGGAGAAATGTTTCTGTTTCGTGTTTCATCGGCTCACAGTGACCGAAACTAGTGTTGCAAACAAAGAGTTTGCAACTCCCTTTGATCTTTACCGACTTCAAGTGGAAACAAAAATTTCTGTTGCAAACACTGAAAAACTGTTTGCAACAGCGAAATGTTTCGTCTAAAAATGTGCGTTTTTGGAGATGTTTGCAATTTCTGTTTGCAACTCGTGTTTCAAACTCCGGTGTAAACGCGGCTTTACACCTTTAAACCAAATTTCATCAAAATCGGACAAAAATTACTCAAGTTATTGCGTTCACGGACGTATATATATATATATAAGTCTATATATATCTAATATATATAAGTCTATATATATCTAATATATAAAATTCTCGTGTCACAGTGTTTGTCTGCAAACTCCTCCGGAACGACTTCACCGATCGTTATGAAATTTGGTGTGTAAATTCTGTAGGTATACGAATCGGTCGTAAACTATTTCCCGTTTCGAAATTCTTAAAAGGGCTCCGCCCCAGTGGCTCTGGAGTTTCCCATGTTAACCTTATGAGAAATGGAATTAATGAATCTTAACAGCTGTTTCAATTAAACAAGTTGGTTCTGTTCTATGATGTTCAATAGCATTAAAGTTACAAGGATTACCAACAGGGTGCGGCACTATTATTTCTTTTACATTTATGACAACAGCTAATTTGCAACCAAAAGGTGAGTGAGCGTAGCGAACGAACTTCAACCTGGAGGCGAGTTAGCGTAGCGAACGAGCTAACCTGAAGGCAAGTGAGCGCAGCGAACGAGCTCCAACCTAAAGGTGAGTGAGCGTAGCGAACGAGCTCCAACCCAAAGGTGAGTGAGCGTAGCGAACGAACTTCAACCAGGACGTGATTGAGCGATGCGAACGAGATCATCTTGAAAATTAAACGTAACGGTACTTTCTTTCCATCGGTCTGTCTTAGGGGAAACCTATAACTTAGGCGATACGAAGTTCGCCGGGTCAGCTAGTATACATATATAAACATTTGAACGAATGGTGTTTTTGGCCTCTGGGGAAATCAAAATGAAAAAGAAAATCGGTCCCAGGTCTAGGTCTTACCGTGCCACCTATGGTAATAGCTACTTCCCTATAGGGAAATTCGCTAAAACAGGTTTTTTTAGTGTGGCCTTGGATGTAGCCACGGCGATGTAGCAGTACCACTGACAGTGACCATAGAGATGAATATATTTAAAACACTCATCTCTATTCTCTAGGGCACAGAGACGGCAACCCTGCTAAAAAAATCCAGACTCTAGTTTTGTTTGTTAGGTTATATTTATATTACTACCAACTAGGGGAATCAGCCACAATCAGCTCATTCGCTCGTGGTATTGTATGTACACAACTGTCACATCTTGTCGACATCCCATCTTAGTGACATCTCATATGACCGACACTGTCGATATTTTGAGCTGTTGACAAGATGGGACTATTTCAGTGTCGACCTTCTGGGATGTCGATAATCTGGGACCCCACGACTCACTCAGTCTCAGTCCAGTCCCAACTCCCATTACTATTCCACTCCTAGTCCCAGTCAGAGTGGGAGTCTCGTCTTATAGCTCAGTGGTCTTATCTCAGCTTCAGATGACATTTTTTTTGTGACAAGACAATTAAAAAAACTCGGTACTATCAGCTGGTTTTGAGGTCTCGCTACAGTCAGTCTAGTCCTAGTCCTAGTTCCTTCCTTTCCTAGTCGCTCTTGGCTTGACACTTTGACAGGAGACAGGCTTGACACTAGTAGGACTGACATAATTCGAGACTCGACAGGAGTTAAATTAAAATTAAATTAGTTTGATTTTTTATTTTGGATTGTCGTCTGTGTCTCTTGGACTTGGCTAGTACCTTTAGTTTTGTAATAAATACAATTCGGTTTTTTTTATTAGCCTAGCCACTGTCGAATAAATCCTAGAGTTGCAGCTAATTCTAAACTCACAGCAACGACTGTTTATTCACTGAGGCTTAGGCCTATCTATGGTAAGCACTCAATTCACCTAAGTTAAGTTACTCATAATACATCTTAATCCTTGACCGACAATGTCCGATAACTTAGACTGCGTCAGAGACATATTAACATAGGCTACTATTTACAAATTATTTAAAACTAACATCTAAGTTAAAGAGTACATATAATTTATTACTTGGCTCGAGGCCTATGATGAAGGCTATGACTTAGGCCTACCCAGTCTCTTAGTAATTTAGGCCTAGCCTGCCTACTTGATTGTTTCCAGATGATTGTTTTAAATGACTTGCCTGATTGCATGTAACTGCATGTTTAAAAGACCAAATAAAATTCTCATTCTCTCATTTTTGGGGATGGCAGCTTGCAGCTATTGTCTTGGATGGGGGTAGGCCTAGGCCCTACTGGGGTACACTTCCATAGGCCTATCTGTTGAGCACAAACAACCTCCGAGTGAGTAATATTGATTATTCGATTGTTTAACCCTCCGAGTGTTATTTGTATCGGGTAACCGCAGTCTGTCCTCTGGCACTTTTCCATCGGTCCTGAAGAATGGTTATGTTGTCCCCATATTAAAGTCGGGAGACAACCGCGACGTTATGAACTATAGGCCAGTTGTCCTTTTGTCCGTTATAAGCAAAGTGTTCGAAGGCCTAATCTTAGATATAGTTCAGCCCTTGTTCAGACAAGTGTTGATAGACGAGCAACACAGATTCACCTCTGGCCGCTCTACTGTGACCAATCTCCTCTCGCTTCAGTGCCAAGTCATGGATGCCTTTAGCTGACGAAGGCAAGTTGATGCTATATACATAGATTTTAGCAAAGCCTTTGACAAGATCAGTCACCGTCATCTTCTTGCTAAGCTGGAGGGCTATGGCGTTGTTGGCACGATGCTTCGATGGTTTGAGAGCTATCTTTCTGGTCGACGTCTGGCTGTTGTCTTTCAGTCTCACGTCTCTGCTAGCTTCGTCGCGAGTTCCGGCGTATAACGTTCAGTAGAAAAAAGAACAACTTGGAAGCCGACTATTTCCTTGACGGGAACAGGGTGGAAAGGTGTGGCACCATTAAGGACCTGGGCGTTCAGATTGATGCCTCGTTTGATTTTGGACCGCACATAAGCCATATATGTACGGTACTCATAGTAAGACCTGGACCCGGGCCTGATTTACTTTTTCGTTTTGAGGCCCCTAGAGGCCAAAAACACCATTTGTTCAAATTCATATAATACTAGCTGTAACCCGCGGGCTTTGCCCCGTTTAACTTCTTAATTTTCGAGATGATCTCGTTCGCATTGCTCAATCACGTCCTGGTTGAAGTTCGTTCGCTACGCTCACTCACCTTTAGGTTGGAGCTCGTTCCCTACGCTCACTCACCTTTAGGTTGGAGCTCGTTCGCTGCGCTCACTTGCCTTCAGGTTAGCTCGTTCACTACGCTATCTCGCCTCCAGGTTGAAGTTCGTTCGCTATGCTCACTCACCTTTTGGTTGCAAATTAGCTGTTGTCATAAATGTAAAAGAAATAATAGTGCTGCACCTTGTTTGTAACCCTTGTAACTTTAATGCTATTGAACATCATAGAATAGAACCAACTTGTTTAATTGAAACAGCTGTTAGGATTCATTAATTCCATTTCTCATAAGGTTAACATGGGAAACTCCAGAGCCACTGGGGCGGAGCCAATTGGACGTATCACGAAATTGATGGTGTATGAACCTATTCCATGACATCCTACATGTATGTACCAAGTTTCGTGTCCATCGGTCCAGCGGTGTCTGAGTTTATCACTGCCAAATATATATACAAACATCCTCTTTTATAATTATAGATATATATTTATATATATGTCCGTTAGCGTGATAACTTGAGCAAAAATCATTCGATTTTGATGAAATTTGGTACAAACATGTAAATCTACGTTTGTTCAAACGAGTTTGCGAACCAGCATGATCGGACTATGGGAACAGTGGTTTATGGGGGGTCTTATGGGGTAAAAACGGGCTGATAGCCTTCAAGATTTATTGGTTTATATCCAGCTTGAGCTCTAAACTTAGTTCTCAATAATTGTTCATTCGTAGGCTAGGCCATACCAATTGGTCTATGCCATTTCTAAATAGGCTAGTCATGTTTTTCTTGTCATTGTTGTGTTGGGGCAAAGGTACCTAATAAACTTAAGCTACTCGCGATTTTCACAAACCTTTTCTATATTCTGTTTTAAATAAACTTAGGTACGGGTAATTCTGAATTTTTTTTCCCCTTTCACACTTTATTTATTTATTAATTACAACGGACGACATCTTTTTACTATAATATTATACAAAAACTAGTGGCTTGTAGGGACATAAGTCCCTTAAAAGCTCAAATGTAAAACAACTTTTTGCAATACCGGTATTTAAACAAACTCAGAATAACATTATCTATGTGTCAGAATAGGCATCCCTACACCATATCTTTTGTGTAAAAACCAGTTTGTTGTTCTTCTTTGTTTGCTTTTGTTGATGTCATTTTCAATAAATAATTTGAATCACTCCAGTGCTTTAACATGAAAAGGCAGCAAACATATCATTGTTTGTGAATAAGTACTGGTTTACTAAGGTAGCTTTGGTCTTGTGGTTAATGAGGATAAATAAAAGCTTCCCTGTTTGGAATTTTAAAAATTCATTGGAGGTTCACCTTCAGATGAATTGAAGACGCCTGCAATTTCATCTGCAGTAGGCTTATTATACCTACGACGATCCATATTTATCCTGTCTACAAACCTAAGTTCTAATTCACTGTCACCTTGTACAACCATTTCTTCCGAAGCTCTTTTGTAAATTTGTGCAAATGGATTTTCTAATAGAATTTCAGCTAGTTTTGACAATATTTCAGGTTTTAAGTCACTATTTTCTCGACGCCTTTGACGAATTTCTGTTGCTGTTGATGTGTCAATAATGTACAATTGGCCATACACGGGGTCTTCATCACGTTGAGGCAGCAAATCTGAGATTGAACGATAAATCTGTCTTTGAATTTTGAAACAGTATGGTCCTTTTCCTGGAATATCTTTCTTACTGGCTGAAAAATAAGCAAAAGCCATCGCACTGTTGCATTGTCGAATGAATTTATACAGTTGTGGGCTCTCTTCAAACAAACTTTTAAGTTCTACATTAGTTTTTGACTGAGGAAGGTTAATAAGTCCGTTATGGCAACATGTCATAAAATGATTATTCGTTAGTTCTTCTCTAAAATGAAGAGCACTACATTGAATGCACTCTTGGTCCAGTAATCCTGCATCATGGATCTTTACATTTCTCTCGTCTACCATGGGTCTCCTAAAAAGGGGTTGTACTAACATATCTTGATTAAGTTCGTCATTATCTACTCTTGCTCTCCTACGTGCACTGTCATTCCTATGAACAGTTCCCCGCCTTTGTGGTATTCCCCTGGCGTTCATATTAATTACAGTACTTATAATGAAAAGAATATATATCCAGCAGCCTACATACCAAAACATCTTGAATCCCTGGTGATTTTATAAAAGTATGATCGAATATGATTACTCTACGTTGTATATTCACTGCACTAAAAAAATTTACTTACGAAGGAATGCAAATACACCATTTTAGAACCAATAACATTTATAGGTTATTTTAGTTGTATATATTTACACAACCTTAACCTTAAAATGTGTAGAAATATAAAGAAAACAACATCATTTAAAATAAACTTGAACATATGATTTAAAAATAAAAACAAAACAGAAGTTAGATTTAATTTCGACTCTTTGAATATTTATACAGAATATTTATTCTATGTCGTTTATTCCTTTAACACGACAATAACGTAAAAGCATGAAAAAATGAAACTTGAGTATATGATTTAAATATAAACAAAGAATTTTCCGACTAATCTTCAATATTTCAGTTTTATTATAGTATACATTTCATAGTTGACTGGCTAAAAGTAAATGCGTGTATTGATCACTGTTTTCATATCTGTGGCACAGCTGTTTTAATTTCAAAAGATGTAAACAAATTAAACCCCATGTTGTTTTAATGGGAAAAGTTTTATTCTGTTGCGAATTTATGGTAAAAAAATAAGAAAAATGAATAGTTTTCCCTCAAAATTCACGTCAAGACCTTTAAAATACTGTAAGACCCCTCCCATCCTTCTACGGCCATCCAGTCACTCACAGTTTCTTTACAAAAATTTGACTTACGGAATTATATATATAGATTTAAAAATTTCACAAGATGATTATAAAGCTTGTAAGTTATGAGATGACAGACACAAATAAATATCAATGACGGTTAATTCAACAAAATTAACATTAGTTAATAGTTACCAATAGTGATTAAATGAATGCTTCCAAGCTATCATAACATAGAATTTTGTCGCTAGGATTGTTTTGTTTTAGCTCAAAAGAGGTTAAAGTCATGTGATGTTTATTCTTGCTTTTATTGTGATGCTAATGTGTACGGTACTTTTTTCAGATGAACTCATGGGAGGAAAGGCAAAGAAGCACGCTACTAGATGGACGAAGAGCTTTAGAACGGACATCCGAGAGTCTTGCACGATCAGAAAGGACAGCATTAGAGACGGAAGCGATCGGGGTTGAAGTTGTCTCGAATCTCGGTACACAGAGGGAAACATTGGAACGAGCGAGAAACCGTCTTGAGGACATTGATCAGGGGTTGAGCCGTACCCAGTCTATCCTAAACACCATGAATCGACGAGTGTTGACCAACAAACTTTTGTTAATTTTAATAATCGTCAGTGAATGTGGTATTCTTGCCTCATTGGTTTACTTGAAATTCATCAAACATTGAGCTTAATAAAGCGTTTTCTACCTCAAATTGATTTGTACATACAAGTTTGCAATGATATGTTGTAAATCATATCTAAACTGAATACTCAGTTACCAAAGACATAATATATGTATACCTAAGTATAGTTCCCTCGAGAAAGACTAGTATCTTATTTCATTATTCAACAAAATGACAGAACAATTTGGTCAAGATATGCTCGTAAAAGCTGTTGCACAAATTTGCCAAATGGTGGGCTTTAAAAAAACTATGACTTGTCCTTTGTACACTTTGGTCGACATTCTCAAAATGTTTATATGTCGTCTTGGACAAACCGCCCATCGATATGCAGAGCACTGTGGACGCTCGTCTCCAAATTTAACCGATCTATCACTCGCTTTTCACGACTTTGGAGTGAGACCTACAGATTTAGTTGATTTTTTGGAATATGTCAGCCCCTTACCCCATAGTTTACTTGTACCTAAATACCCCGTCTCAAGAAAAACGACAATTATGTATTGTTTACAAGAACAAAGTTCTACAACTAACAAAGTTAAGAAAAATATACCTGTCAAATTACATCCTGAGATAACAAATGAAGCAAGAATGCCCACAGGTCCCGAATCCTCTCTAAGCTCTCAGTGCTACGTGAAAAAAGAACCTATTAAACTAACAATATCACTCAAAAATATAAAAACTGTGGCTAGATCTAAAAAGAATTCTTCGAAACGTAAAAAGAAAAAAAGAAAAACAAAAAAGTGAAACTTTTGTGTCAACAGTCTTCAAACGTACCCTTCTTCATTTACATAAACATTCCATTAAGTATTTATTAGGATTTCCTTAATTGTGTGTTTTAATCATACAGGTTTAGTTTAAGGAACTTAACTGTTTTTTTAATCATTGAACATTTTGAGAAGATTTTCCCGCAGTAACTTGTGTTTTCTTTTTCAGACGGATATTGTTTTTTGTTTCTTTTCTATTAAGGAAATCAGTTAAATATGTTATAAGTTTTGTTTAAAAATAAATATAGATTTTTACTGATAAAATACAACAGAATACTGTGTATGTCAAAATACTGACATAGTACTCTTGGCAGGCAATCCATGCTATTAAATTTCCATGCTTGTTTTGGTGTAGAATTTTTTTTAATACTCTTGCTGCCTCCATTTTGGTTAAACTATTATGGGCCCCATAAGTTAAAATAGGCGATCTGTAAATTGTAGCCTGATTATTTCTTAAGAAATGTATTTTCTCTAATAATATTGAAATCGTCTGTATTGTACAGTATTCTAAATATTCTAGTTTCATACTCTTGAAATAAACATTTTTCATCAAACTTCTCTCTTGATAATTACCACCACCACAACCAATTACTCCTTAAATCGTAAATTTTATCATTGTAGATATTTGTACTGAGAGACGCTCGGAATTAAAGGCATTATTATTTATTTATTTATTTATAGAAATATTGCAAAGAATATCACATAATCAATATCTTTATAATTCTTTCTAAGCATCTGACATGTAAAAAAATATAATTGTTTTGTTATTATAGATAATAATCTACTTACGTATCACGTATGCTAGTAGGTGTCAATTATTGTAGTTGATTATGCTGTACATGTTTCAAGCCTAATAATACGGCTCATCTTCAGCAGCATTTTTCTATGTACAATTTTCACATCGAGAGATGATTGTCGACTATATAAGTAGATTATTATCTATATAACATATTAAAGGTGTCAAGGCTGATTAATTCGATTTAATTGTTTTTTAATAGTGTCAGAAAGAACAAAAGTAAAATAGTTTTTCGTAAACAGTTGATTATTTTGTCTCTCAAGTTCTCAGTTATGATTTCCAGTCCCTCCCTCTTACCAAAAGATGTTGTCCACATTCTCCTAACTGATCTATAAGTACCCATATATTATAGTCTTCTGAAGACATATGATCTCTACCCCATGCCTCCTAGCTGAAGATCTCCTCTACCCAGCGTCCTCGTCAAGATGTCTACTACCAACCTCCTAACTGAGGATACAGTACAAGATCTCTACTAGCAACATTCCATTTGAGCTCACTACTACAAGCCTACTAGTCAATTTAGAGTTCACAGCCTTCTATCTTAAGATACAGTCAAGATCTCAATTCCTAGCCTTATATCTGAAGATATAGTCATGATGCCTACAACCAGCCTTCTGCACTGAAGATATAGTATATACTCAAGATCTCACCCACCTTACTGAAGATATAGTCCAGATCTCCACTCCTACTCTTTGGTCAATACTCTACTCCCATCCTCCTTACTGAAGATATAGTCAAGATCTCCACTCCTACTCTTTAGTCAATACTCTACTCCAATCCTCCTTACTGAAGATATAGTCAAGATCTCCACTCCTACTCTCTGGTCAATACTCTACTCCCACCCTCCTTACTGAAGATATAGTCAAGATCTCCACTCCTACTCTCTGGTCAATACTCTACTCCCACCCTCCTTAGTGAAGATATAGTCAAGATCTCCACTCCTACTCTCTAGTCAATACTCTACTCCCACCCTCCTTAGTGAAGATATAGTCAAGATCTCCACTCCTACTCTTTGGTCAATACTCTACTCCCATCCTCCTTACTGAAGATATAGTCAAGATCTCCACTCCTACTCTTTAGTCAATACTCTACTCCAATCCTCCTTACTGAAGATATAGTCAAGATCTCCACTCCTACTCTCTGGTCAATACTCTACTCCCACCCTCCTTACTGAAGATATAGTCAAGATCTCCACTCCTACTCTTTGGTCAATACTCAAAAATACTTACAACCTCCTTACTGAAGATATAATCCAGATCCATACTCCATACTGTATATACAGACTAGTATACTAGTAAGAAGACTAATAAGAAGACATGCTAATACGTGGCTTCAAGTCTACACTCACCATCCTCTCTGATGATATATTCATGATGCCTACAGACAGCCTTCTGAACTGAAGATACAGTATACTCCAGATCTATACTCATAGGTTTTTAGTCCATACTCTACTCCCACCCTCTGGACAAAAGATATAGTTCAAATCTATACTCCTAGCCTTCATTCTGAAGATGTACTCCTGATGCCTACTATGTATCAGTCTTCTAAACTGAAGATACAGTATACTCAAGATCTATACTACTACCTTTTAGTCCATTCTCTACTCCCACCCTCCTTACTGAAGATATAGTCCAGATTTATACTCCTACCATAATCTACTCCCACCCTCCTTACTAATGATATAGTCCAGATTTATACTCCTGCCATTCTCTACTCCCACCCTCCTTACTGAAGATATAGTCCAGATTTATACTCCTACCATACTCTACTCCCACCCTCCTTACTGAATATATAGTTCACATTTATACTCCTACTATACTCTACTCCCACCCTCCTTACTGAAGATATAGTCCAGATTTATACTCCTACCATACTCTACTCCTACCCTCCTTACTGATGATATAGTCCAGATTTATACTCCTACCATACTCTACTCCTACTCTCCTTGCTGAAGATATAGTCCAGATTTATACTCCTACCATACTCTACCCCCATCCTCCTTGCTGAAGATTTAGTCCAGATTTATACTACTACCATACTCTACCCCCACCCTCCTTGCTGAAGATATAGTCCAGATTTATACTCCTACCATACTCTACTCCCACCCTCCTTACTGAAGATATAGTTCACATTTATACTCCTACTATACTCTACTCCCACCCTCCTTACTGAAGATATAGTCCAGATTTATACTCCTACCATACTCTACTCCTACCCTCCTTACTGATGATATAGTCCAGATTTATACTCCTACCATACTCTACTCCTACTCTCCTTGCTGAAGATATAGTCCAGATTTATACTCCTACCATACTCTACCCCCACCCTCCTTGCTGAAGATATAGTCCAGATTTATACTCCTGCCATACTCTACTCCCACCCTCCTTACTAAAGATATAGTCCAGATTTATACTCCTACCATACTCTACTTCCACCCTCCTTACTGAAGATATAGTCCAGATTTATACTCCTACCATACTCTACTCCCACCCTCCTTACTGAAGATATAGTCCAGATTTATACTCCTACCCTCCTTACTGAAGATATAGTCTAGATTTATACTCCTACCACACTCTACTCCTACCCTCCTTACTGAAGATATAGTCCAGATTTATACTCCTACCCTCCTTACTGAAGATATAGTCCAGATTTATACTCCTACCCTCCTTACTGAAGATATAGTCCAGATTTATACTCCTACCATACTCTACTCCTACTCTCCTTACTGATGATATAGTCCAGATTTATACTCCTACCATACTCTACTCCCACTCTCCTTACTGAAGATATAGTCCAGATTTATACCCCTACCATACTCTACTCCTACTCTCCCTACTGATGATATAGTCCAGATTTATACTCCTACTATACTCTACTCCCACCCTCCTTACTGAAGATATAGTCCAGATTTATACTCCTACCATACTCTACTCCTACCCTCCTTACTGATGATATAGTCCAGATTTATGCTCCTACCATACTCTACTCCCACTCTCCTTACTGAAGATATAGTCCAGATTTATACTCCTACACTCCTTACTGAAGATATAGTCCAGATTTATACTCCTACCATACTGTACTCCCACCCTCCTTACTGAAGATACAGTCCAGATTTATACTCTTACCATACTCTACTCCTAATCTTCTTAATGATGTTATAGTCCATATTTAGGCATCTAGTCTATACATGACTCTCACCTTCCTTACTATGTAGTTGTGATCTCTACTCCCAGCCTTCCATGTGGGTATATCCATGATGCCTACTGACAGCCATCTGAGATGAAGATACAGTACACTCAAGATTTCTAATCCCAGTCATCTAATTCGTACTCTACAACTTCACTCCTAACTGAAGATATAGTCATGATACCTCATACCTACCAGCCTTCTGAACCGTTGATACAGTACATTCAAGATCTCTACTCCCAGCCTTCTAGTATGTAATCTACTCCTACTCTCCTGACGAAAGATTTTGTCCAGACTCTTGGGATTCTAGTCCATACTTAACACCCAGGTTTTAAATCCAAGTCTTCATTCTCAGCCTCTTGACTGAGAATACATTTAAGATCTCTACTTGCAGCATTCTTGTCAAGATCTTAACTACTACTTGCCTAAGTTACATACCTCTACCCCCAGTATTCTAAAGAAATATATAGTGCATGTACTCCTAGCCTCCTAGCTTTCCTTATTTGTTTTATCCACCGTCCTTCTATCTGAAGTAGTATACAGTCAATATATATCAACTCCCAGCCTCCTATTTAAAGTATACAGTCAATAGCTCTACTCCCAGCCTATTAATTGAAGTAAACAGTTAATATCTCTACTCCCTGCCTTCTATCTGCGTTACTTCTCCTTTACTTTAATCGGACTGGAGTTTTCGAATCTTCTTCCTCTTTGTTACGTCTTCGTCTTCATATGTGGTCCCTTCTGATTTTACCAATGCCCCAGTTTCATAAACATCAAATTCAAGCTCTCTCCTGAGACTACGTATGTACTCTAATAAAGATCCTTATAATATTACAGTACCACCTCTGATAGATCGGTTTCACATTCTTGTAGTTTTTTACTTGCTTAATTGAACCTGCACAGCAAATCTCCATAGAACACATAGAATTGATAAAAAAGCAGTTTCCAATCTGTGTAACTGACGGAGGTAGATGGATGCTTCACTTCGTGTGGTTGTCTTTACTGTTTCGTCATTTGATATAATTGTAAGGGCTTCTATTATTTAATTCGTGTCTTCATTTAACGCATGCATCATCCCTTGCCGACCAACGAGTTTTTGACAAAATTTTAAGACTTAAATTGTGTTTTCATTCAGACGACCTACTAGTACTTCCCACCTTTTAATAGAGCGCGAAAAGAAATTGTACAAGTTGTTAAGAAGCATGAAAAAGTCACGACTTTCTTTGCAACTACTAGTTGAATGCTCCCCGACTAAATTCAACGAATGAGTACAAGGAGAACATTGCTGTAGGTGTTGTTTCTCGAAGTCTGGCTTGCAGACCATATAAATAAAATAAATAAATAAGGTCTTTATTAATCTTCCCGACATCTTACAGGCCTTGTCATATGCCTAGCCCCTGCAGTTTTCTTTATCAATATCATACTTTTTAAAGACATCCATAACAGCCTTAAAGAGATCTTCTGATTTGTGGCCAACATTTGGTAGAAAACAGAGAAATCTTTCCACTGGATCAGGAACGTGCCTAATTATTATTTGCAAAATTGGTCAACATGAGATATCTCAGGTTTAGA